TGACCATGTTCGAAAAAACGAACACTTGTGCCATGGGCACTTAGGGCTTAGAGGATTCAAAATCTAAACTAATGGATGTCCAAAGAAGTGAAGTCAGGTTTGAACTCATGAAACATATAAGGGATTTTTTATTTTCTGCACATGTTTCTTTATATTTGCTCAGTTTCAGCCCTTAATTCTATCTGGAAGTTCCTTTGAGAATTATCATATAATACAAGTTTTCATCCAATGCTACATAACATGCAATTTTTAAGTATGACACAACCAAATAAATAAGTATAGAATTAAATAACTAAATATAATTAAAACTGTTACTTAAATGACACAATCAGCATAATAGGGCACTAAAAGTCTATAATTTTGATTGATTTTCTTTTGGCATACTCTCATTCTTTAAGGGCAAAAGAAGGCTTATGTTATTAGCATGCTGTGTATTTGTTTTCTTCCAACTTCTGATCTAGCTGAAAATTTTCATGAAATCCTGTAAAGATGTAATGCCACTAGAGGTGGCACTTCACATTTTAATTTTCTACAGTCAATAACAACAGCATGATGGATGCATGAACTTGTGAGGTTGGAGTAACACCAACACCATTTAACACAGTGTCTTGAAATGATGTTTGGTAATACAGCTATCACTAATATACAACTTTTGTTAAGACAGTCTTGTTGCAGTATGTACAACCATCAGAGGTTGGAATTTGAAATTTGAATTCCATACAAATATGTAGGAAACATTGCTTACAAGTTAACTATTATAAACATGGGACACTGAGATATTTTAATGTTATATATAACAGATTCAATGAATACAGAATTTGTACTTAATCAGTTCTTCCCCAAAATAAAATAACAATAATCTCTATCACACGTATTTACAACTGTAAAGAACAAGAAATATTTCTGACTCAAGTTGTCCCTGTGCTTAACCAATTAAAAACTATTCCATGGGGGCATATGGGAGAGTGAATATATAGAGCCACATTTTCTTGAACTCGGCACTAGTTGGAGATGAGTATTCAGCTTCACGCCCTGGCATCTTTACCCCCAGGGAAACAACATGCAGTACCCACTGGATAGGAGGCTGCATGGGCCCCAGAACTGGTCTGGACAATGTGAAGAGAAAATTCTTTACCCTACTGGGACTTGAACTCCAAACCCCTCTGTCATCCAGCCTGTAGCCCGTCACTATAACTATGCTATCCCAGCACATGTTAGTGTAGTTGGTTGAGGCACTATACTATAGGCCGGAAGGTCACAGTTTCGATTCTCAACGAGGTCATTGCAGTCTTCAATTGACCTAATACTTCAAGCCACACTATGGCCCTGGGGTCGACCCAGCCTCTAACAGAAATGAGTACCAGGAAACTTCCTGGGGTAAAGGGTGGCCAGCACATGAGGTTTACAACCTCACCACTATATGTGAGCCGACTGTCTAAAAAATGTGGGAGACTTAACATCTCACAACCTTATGGGCCTCAATAGTCTGCACAAGGACAGTTACTGACTAAAGTATAATTTGAAATCATGGCCATGGTGTACATTGGAACAATAAGCTAATCCCTCAACTCCTTCTATTGGATTAAAAACTTTCATTACCTAATTACAGTATTAAAACACAAGTTATGCCTTTAAGAAAATTTAGTCTGACCTAAGCAGAAACTGGAGTGGAATATTTACACTCACATTAAAACAGAATACCTGGCTGCATTGTGAGTCCATTTGTTTTGTTTATAGACTCTTGATGAAATGACAGACAAGGCTGTTCCTGCTAAAATTCGACTTAACAAAGATTTGGAAATTGAAGAACCAGTGGGTATGTTATACTTGTAGCAAACAATTTGTGACACTTTTTAACTCCTCTGGTGAATGACAGTTGAAACACAATTATGTGATAAGAATTATAACCTTCTGATAACCATAATTTATGATAGCACAATCCCATGCACATATATTTTTTCTAAAACAGATGTAAAAAATTCATTATAAAAAGAAATTAATGAGATGGAGACAGGATTGTTTGGGTGTTTCAGGTTCACTCCATTACAATCCAGAAGGCCTACACTATGATTAAAACGCTGGTAAACATACTTGTCATGAAAAGAGAACCAAGTTAATTGACTTAAACAAACCATACTGAACCAAACTTGGCATAAAACTAAAAATAGCCTAGGAATGTACTATAATCAACCAGTTCAACAAAAATGTCTTTTCCCATTAATTGTTCACAAGTAACTGCCTTTGGAACCTTCTGAAAAGTATTTATACTCTGATGTATTAACAAAGTTTCCTCAGAAACTTCAGTCTTTAAACTGGTAGATGTTGCCTGTCTTCAATGGTAATTTATGTGTACAACATCAAATATTAATTTTCTGATCACAGGAGAATACGAGTTGATAAATCGCATCAGAGAGATAGCTGAGAAAAACAAAATCTGGAGAAGCTACATTGGGATGGGTTACAATAATTGCTGTGTGCCACACACGATCATGAGAAATATATTTGAGAATCCTGGATGGTAGGTTGCCATACAGTGTATATTCAGGTTAATGGAAATAAATGTGAAGATATCAATTTATGAACTGAATGATAATGCATATTTCCAGGGTATATTCTGCTCATAATTTCATCATGAACCTCGATTTTCTGTGGTCCCTGGACAGAATGAACATTCAATGGTCAGGTCTTGTCAGTGTATCTACTCAATATATTGATTTTAATTAAATTCTGTATCAGAAGTATATGCTAGAAGTTAGCAAACTAATTTTGATTCATATCAATCCAGTATAACTCGTTTCACTCATCACTCATGGAGCTGAGCCCTTCTTGAGAAGTTGCCAATTGCGTAGCTCTTGTGAACACGGTAATGAACCTTTGGGTTCCATAAATCTTGGGAAGTATAATTCATTTATTACATGACTCTCAAATTAATGTTTCCTATTTACTCAAATATTGCTCAATGTACAAAAACTTGGTACATGACATTATGGTATAGATCTACAAGTTTTATTTTAAATATTTTCCAGTGTGGTGAATCTTTAACAAAATACAAGGTAAAGTAACAACAGACTTTGCATCGATATCTCTAGGAAGATCAGCTTTGCAATACCTGAATACATCACTGTCCTCATCTTTTTCAGTATATTGAGGC